GGCAGATCTGCAGTGGGAGCAGAGAAATCAGAGCCTTTCCTGTATTAATCACAGCAGGGTGATTACTGGAGAGTACTGGTGACTACCTGGGGAGCGGTGGTGACACTGGAGGGGTCCCTGTCACGATCACAGACTCCGAGCGAGCTCACTCAAAGAAGGAAAGCTGCCTTGAGCAATCTGCATCTTTTAAAGCCCAGATCCTGGTATTTCCAGCTGCCCATGAGACCCTGCAAAAACCCTCCCCAGAAACAGGACAGTCTTGTATCGGAGCGGTCAGTGCTGACTTTTCCACCCGTCCTCGCGCTGGGAGCTGCCAGGGGCACTCGAGAAAAGAGCATGACCTGCAGACGCAGCCCTGGCCGCCTCCGGGCAGAGCAGTCTGCAACAAGCCTTAGCGAAACCACGTGGACCATGGGAGATGGCTGCTGTCTGTGCGCACGTGTGGGCATTTGGACTGCTGGCTTCTCTGAAGGCAGGGGAGGCTTGCGCCCCATGGACTAACTGAAGTAGATGCACGTCGCACAAGCTGCTGTGAGCCTGTGGCAGAAAGCCACCTTGGTTTCTCCCCAAAAATCTCTGCCCTGTGACACTGTGATTTAAATCTCTGTGCTGTGACCATTCAATTAGGATGGGCCCAGCACACAGGGGACCACACCCTCAGCCTGTCTCTTTAGGGAACTGGAGCTGGCTGCATTCCTGAGGGAGGGGGAAACCTGCTCCCTCTGCCTACGTGACTTGCATCACTTACCTGGGTAAGGGGTTTCTACCTGGGGAGCTGGAATCTGCCCGGTAACAGGTGATGCATTTCAAATTGGTTGGCTGACAGCCAACTGGGGCTGACCTCCGCTGGCCCAGGTGAATGAGGTCACAGGGGCTATATAAGTTAGGACGGGGAAGGAGGCGGTCTCTCCTCTCCGGCCATGAGGTGACGCAGCAGCCAGGCAGGGGACAGAGAAGCCTTAACATCTGAAACTGGCTCTCTCCCCCCAAACTCACGAGCTAGGAACCGCCTGCCTCCAAAGGGAAACTTCACCTGCCTTTGGAAGATGCTTGTGAGTAAGCTACTCAATCTGATTAGATATTTAGCTGGAAGTATCACAGATGCGTAATCAAAAGGCTACCACAGCCAGACTGTTTGCTCTTTAGGATTTCTAGATATTGCTCTATCCTGTACCCTAGTTTACCCTACCCCCTGTAATCAATAAAGTTCTCCTTTTTGACTGGTGTGGGAGACTTATTGAGGGGTGGGTCTAAATTATGCCTAAGAGACCCCTTAGGTCTGTGGACTAAGGGAGACTATACCTTTTTGCCCCCGGACTTGGGGAAGTACCCCAAGTGCCTGTACTGGGTTGAGTACCCGTGGGACTTCAGGCCTGTGTTACCCCAAGGACACAGGGCCGCGAGACAGTCCATTCTTGGGGTGGTGGCAGCACGTTACCCCCAGACTAGCGAGTGTGCTCCGGGAGAGGGGTCGGCCGGACATAAGGCGCCCCTAGGGAGGCATTCGGAGCCTGGAAGGTGGTCGGGTGCAGGGAGGTGGGTGGCTCAATGCAGGAGCACCCCCTACTGGCCCACCTCACATGGTGGAAATAGCGGTGGGATACGAATACCCAGCTGTGTTCCTGAGGTGGGATCTCTGCACCCGCCACAGAGCCGAAGTCCTCCTCATCAGACGTATTTGAACTCGGCCGAGCCCCTAACCTCTGACCTCAGCAACCAACGCGCATTATTCCAGCAGCCAAGTCAATGCTCTGCAGCAGGAGCGCAGCCTTTTCCTGGGACCTCAGCGTATATGAACAACCTTTGCAGCAGCAGGACGCCGTGCACCGTGGTGCCTTGCTTTACCTGTGGCGGCCGGTGCTGTGTCAGGGCTGACGGCAGGTTTGCTCAGAGGTTGGACCACGAATGGATGCGTCTGGGATGCTTTGGACAGGGCTGATGCTGCCTCGGGGCTGGGCTAGCCGTGCCCTCTGGAGCTGCCTCCCAGCCCGCTTCTCTGAGATGCCGACTCTCTCCCAGCAGTGACCAGCCCTTGCTGGCTCCATGTCAGGCATTTGGGATGTTTTTATTGAAACCCACTTTGCTTGTAAAAATCTAGTTGGTCTAATAAAAGATATTGCCTCTACCACGAGTCCTGATTACTTTTCTATTTGCGTGCGCTGGGCCGGAAAGCAGGGAGCACAGGCTTGAGCCCGGGCACAGGTGGAGCAGGTGCGTATCCCGAGTGTTTTGGTGCATCAGAAACAACCCGGCTCTCTGCAGAAATTGCTCCTGACATTAATTCTCAGCCCCGGCCAGCTGCTTCGCACCAACACTCACAGGCTTGGCAGCAAATCCCGGGGGTCTGCATGGCTGGGCTGGAGCGGCATTTCGTGCTGCAATCAGCTCTGCTGGTGCAAAGGGCAGCTCGCTGACTTGTGCGTAGGACCAGGGCTGCCTGCATCTCTGCCGAGGCCTGGACTCGAGGCCGCAGGAGGCTCCCTCCCAGCTCCCGCCGGGCTGCCTTTGGGTTGGGGTCTCCCTCAGACTTTGATGCTGCTGTTGGGGGTGAACTGCTCCCTATTTTGTATGATGCCTCATGGGGCAGGTCTGTTCTCCGCGCTCTGCAGAGTCACGGCCCTGACACCATGGCAAGCACCGGGCAGACAGACCCCGCGTCAACCCGGAGCATGGGGGGATGGCAGGGGCGAGGATGCCAGTGGGGTGTGCGTTGACAGGCGAGCGTGCGTGGTTGGGATTTCCCCCAGGTTGCAGCCACCCATCCCGTGTCCATTTGCGAAGGAGGGCTGTCATCGCTCTAGACCCACCAAGCTGCAGTACAAGAAGGATTTACTTCGGGAGACTTCATGGAGCCTTCTGATGGGAAAAGGCTCTAGCCAAGTCTCCCAAAGTATGCACAGGAGCTGGGCAAGCATCGCATCGCATTTCCTCCCACGTTCCCTGGGCTTTGCTCACTTCTCTGCAGCTGGCCCAGCAGCAGTCCCTGGTGCAGCCTTTCGGGAATGAGCTGATGTTGTGGCACATCATTCCTGGATGCTGGCTTCAGACTCAGGAAACCGGGTGCTCAGGGGAATCTCATGACCCGCTCGTCCAGTTCCTCCCTCTCACTTTCCCACACAACCTCTCTGCCCTTGGCGCCAGTGAGGGGAAGACACATCTGCTCCCAGCAGGGTTTATTCCCCGTCGGTCAGTCTAGAGCTGACACAGCTGTGCATCTGCCTGGGGCTTGTGGGCTGAGGAGGTGAGCAGGGGTGTGCCGGATCAGAGGATGCTTTTCACGTGCACGCACTGATCACCTGGATCTCCAGGGACCACGTTTGCAGGGGACGTGCCTGAGTGACCTGGACGAGAAGCGCTCGGAGCGCTTGAGGACGCCTCCAGGTAACAGCCCGGCTGACCCCCCGGGGAGGCACCGACCGCCGCCGTTTACAAACCCGAGACGCGGGGGCGCAGGTTCTGCTCTCCAAGGTCAGCCCAGGGCCTGCGCACCAAACACCGCGGCCTGCCCCAAGCCAGCGCCGGCCGAGGTAGCTCTGCCACACTGGACCACCGATCTATACATGCTGCTCACACACTAGCTTTGCAAAAGCACTGGCCAGACAACACCTCACCAGCAATCCTCACCGCTGCACGAACTCCGCACACAAGCAAAACTTGGCACGTGGGGCAGGCGTGCGCTCCTGCCAAGAGCGGGGACAGAGAGATGAGGGTGCAAGGGAGGATAACCCAGTCCCAGGACGCTGAGGCTGGAACAGGAACACCCAGGTCAGGATGTGAAACAAGCCCCCGGTCCCAGGAAGGTTTGAGATGTTCAAGATACAGGAGGAACGCAACACGTCATTTGTTTTGAGCAGTGTATAAAGGAGAATTGGAAAGCAGGGGAGCATTGTAGCGGCCTGGGGGAGCCTGCCTGGTGCTGTGCTGACGACCTTGTTGCAGGTACAAATGCCTTAACTCCCGGTCGGATGCACTTGTCAGGCTACAGCATGCTAGGGCCGTGCTTGCAGACAATAAACCTGCCTGAACCTTGGCCACCGTGGCCGCTCTTTAAGACGTGGCTGGTGTTGGGATCTCCTGGCAGCAACTTGTGCACACGGCAGCTCCTGAGACTCGAACTGTGCCAGCGCGCTGATAGCGCCCGGCGAGGACAACAGCGAGGATGGCGCCAATACCCCAACCGCGCTCTGCAGCAGGGTGCGAGGATGGGGGGACGTTGCCATCGTCCCTGGGTGCACCGTGCAGGGCGTGCGTATTGCCCAGGCAGCCGCAGACACTGGGACGTCAGTCCTGTCACCGCTCCAACCCCTGCTCGCAGCTGGCAGGGTTGGTGCAATGCGTGTTTACCCATGGAGGGCATCCAGCCAGGACTTCAAAACCAGGGCCCACACCATGCCCAGACCCCAGCTGCTTGTCTGGGCAGGGGGTTACACTTCAAGAGACATCGCACCCCTCCAGGCAGCTGCTTGCTCCGGGCAGAGAGACCAGGTCTTTTGAAGCAGAAAATGCTTTCAGTCCGCGGCAGCAGGCCTGGGGCTTGCAAGCTCCCCCACGCACGTGTCCCTTTCCCCATGTGATGGGCTCGGTGCCGTTCCCACACCCTATTCCAGGCAGCTCCCGGGTCTCAAACCCCAAGTGCTAGCCTTCGAGTCTCACCATAGCATGCAAGTCTTAGGGCAGGGGCTGCGTTTGTGCCCTGGGGGTCTACACTCGGGCTCCAGGTATCCTACCTTTTACCCCCGAGATACCTCCTTGACCGGACGCCTTCGTACAGGGGATGAGGCGTTCTGCGTCCCACGAACCAGGGTGTTGCTCCCCCCCCTTGGCCTTGCCCAGCTCCTGTCCCCTCTGCTGCAGCCAACTTGTGTCGTCCTTGCATCCAGAGTCGTCCTTGCATCTTGCAATTAATCATCCTGTAATTAATCACCCCCAGCCAAGGCCACCCGACTGACAGCCTGGGTGGGGACCGGCCGCGGGGCGGGGCCTGGATGGCACAGCCAGGTACGGACTCGCGGAGAGGCGTCTGTTGGAGCAAGGTGCATTGTAGCTGTACAGAGTGCCCAGTCCCAGCCATCTCGACCATGAAGGCCACCATCCTCCTCCTGCTCCTGGCCGCAGCCATGTGCTGCTGTCCTGGTGAGTGTCCCACGGCCCTCGAGACCCTTCTGTCCTGCGAGGTCTGACCCCTTGAAGGTGCGAGGTCACAGCGTGGGGATGTGGCTACCTGGCAGAGGGAGCTGGACTCGTAGCAGGGCAGGGACCCCGGGGCAAAGCCCTCGCTGCCCCATGGGCAGGGGAGGCTCCACGAGGCAGCTTGGAAACTGGCCCCCCAAAGCGGGGACTCCAGCCTGGACCCTCACGGGGCAAAGCAGATGTTGCTTGCCCGGAGGGGAAGGTGCAGCTCCCCTCGCCCAGCCGAGAGCCGAGCTGCCCGCGCTTTGCAGCCGTCCGGCTCCTGGGCGTCCCGGTGCAGCCTGGTGTGATGGCAGTCCTGAGCGCAGACCCCAAGCTGACTGGAGGGGGATCTCTGCCCCCACGGCCCCACTCCAGAGCCTTTTCCTGAATGCCTCGCGTCACATCCAGTCTTCCCTCCCGTCCAGCCTCGCATCAGGGCCCCGTGTAGACATGCCCAGCTCCACGGAGCCGGCGCCCCGTTACTCCCACCCGCTCCTGGCTCCGTGTGGGGGCTCCCGACATGGGCACATGGCCCCTCTGCCTCTGCCTGCAGCAGCACGCGATCCCCCGCTGCCCCCCCACAGCGGTGCAACCCCCCTGACTTACACCCGTGCCCGTGAGAGCAGGATCGGGCCCTCCAGTGCACTTGGTGGCCAGGGGCTGCTCACCCCTGCACCACTGATCGGGGAGCACAAACCTCCCTTTGTTCCCTGCCAGGCGGGGGTGGAGCCGGTCAGAGCCGCAGGCAGAGTCAACACAGATGGGCTTGGCCCTGAGCAGGACGCTGGTGGGTGGGGGGCTCCGTGGGGACATGTGGGGGTGCGGCCGGGCGGGCAAGGCTGGGCGCGGCGGGATGCGCCAGCAGCTCACCTTGACCATCTGGGCCCAGCTGCCAGCGCTCACCTCTAAGGGCTGCTCCCACCTTGTGTTTTAGGCAACGCAGCACCCAAAGACCCGTCCGGCACCTGGGAGAAGGTAACGGCACCTCCTTCGCGGTGACCCGCAGCACCAAAAGCAGCCTCGTCGGCGGGCCGGGGAGCCGGTGCTGCGGGGTGTGGGAAGCAGCATGGCCCCAGGGCGTTGGGAGAGCTGGGTTGTGCCCCCTCCCTGCCACCGTCCTGCTGAGGGACCCTGGGCATGTCCCTTGGCTTTGCCGGGCCTTTGCTTCCCTCCCAGTAAAACCAGGCTCGTGGCGTCCCTGTGCGAGGCCAGCGGGTGGGAAGGGCTGGCTCAGAGCAGGGCGGCGCGTGGACCGGCTGAGCTCACGCCTGAGGGGCGGCGCAGACAGCGTCCGTGGGGCCGGAGCTGAGCTCTGAAAGCAGAGGGGCCAAAAATAGGCACCGGGGCATGATGGCCGCACCCGTCGCAGCATCGTACCGCTGTTGCTCCCCTGCTCCGGCAAAGCCCCGTCTCCAGCAGGACGCTCCCCGGCCCAGGTGTCTCTGGGCACTTACATCTCGCCCTTGTCGTCCCCTCCCTTTCCAGCCGGCATGTGACAAGTACTTCCCGGGAAGCGGCTGCCCCCGGATCCTGGATCCCGTGTGCGGCACAGACCTCCAGGTGTACCCCAACGAGTGCGTGCTGTGCGTCCAGAACCGGTGAGTCTCCGGGCTTCGTGCAAGATGAGCTGCGCCCGCACCTGCCCCCGGGCGCTGAGCTCTGCTCCAGGCCTCCTGCCCCCGTGCCAGGCTGAGATGCTTTGGGACTGGGTGTTTCTAGGGATAAATAGTCCCCTGGGGTCTCATCTGTGCTGGCTTGCACGGAAAGCATCGCCGTGTGCTCAGCATGTCGGGGCCTGTTCTAACATCTGGCAGGACTCCCGCGGGTTTTGTGGGGGCTGAGGCAGGTCCTTGATTCATAAGGATGCTGCAGGTATCACAGTTCAGATGAGAGCAGGGAGGCCGGCGAGAGCCAAGGGGCTCCATCCTCACTGCTACAAAGAGGCTGAGACCGGTCTGATGCCCAACTGACCCTGCTGTAACCGAGGGCAGGATCTGGCCCACAGAAAATCCGTGTGGGAAAGCGCTGCTGGGTCAGCTTGCCCCTCTGGCCCCGGGTCCTCCCTGCCGCAGCCTGCCCTCCTCACTGCCTTCAAATGTTAAGGCCTAAGAGGTGTATCTGGCAGCCGTGTTGGCCTGAGACAAAAAGAAATGCAAAAATCTCCAGCGCTCGGTTCGCAGATGATCCCTTTTATTAGATCAACTGAGAAACTGCAAAAAAAAAACTTACAGAAAAAGATCTTTTTTTTGCAGTTTCTCAGTTGGTCGAATACAAGGGATCATCTCCGAACCGAGTGCTCGAGACTTTGCATTTCTTCAAGGCCTAAGAGGGGTGTTTTCAAGGCAGCAGGAGTCACGGATGGGATGGGGCTTGCAAGTGGGGGCTATAGTCAGTGCCCCGGCTTTCCCGGGGTCCCCAGCACGGCCCTTCTTCGCACCTACTCTGAATCCCAGCTCGGGGGGCTCCCCAATGTTGCCGTGCAGTGCAGGGGATGTGATCTGTGGTGGTGGGAGGGGAGGGGGACAACGTCCTTAATCCCCAGGCCAAGCTAAGGGGTTGGCCAAGAGCTGGTTGCAGACTGAAGAGAGTGTGAGATGCCTGGGGACTGGGGAGAAGCAGGAGATGCTCCAGCGGCCCTGAGCTGAGCCCCATGGGGAGCAGGCAGGGGCAGAGACCCCAGGACAGGGACTGGGTGCACCGACGGCTGCAGTCAGCGGTGCCATGGGGAAGCAGGATGGCAGCGACGGGCTTTCGGCGGCCGCGGCAGAGTGTGTCTGTGCCCTTTCCGAGTCCTCTTTCCGGGACCATTCAACAGTTACTGCTCAAGACTGGCTGGGTTTTTCTTTCGGAAAAGCCCGACACCTGCCCGATTCCCTGGGAAGCTCCCAAGGGAGGAGACACGCGTGCGGGTTGCACAGCCCTGCTGTTCGGCCGCGCTCCCAGCATGCCGCTACAGACCGGAAAGCTGCCGCCTGCAAAAGGCTTCTGTACAAGCCACGCAAGAGCAATAAGCAGCGTCCTTGACCCTTGTAATAGTCACAGGGTGAGACGGGCACTGAGCCAGGGCCGAGGGACGCACACGAGCGCTGCGAGGAGCTGGGTGCAGCGAGGCGAGCCCTGGCGTAGCAATAGGGCTGCAGGACAGGAGCACGTGGCATGGGCAGGGCTGGGGGGCAGGATGGCAAGGGAGGTGCGTGTCAGGGCTCGGCAGAGATGCACCGAAAGACATGGTGCGGGAAGGGGGCCCTGGCTGCAGGATTCGATCCTGGCAAAGGGCCGCCTCGAGACCTCGGTGGGAGCAGCCCAAGCTCCTCGCAGCGCTGCTCTGTGCATGGCTTCCCCATCTAGATTTAATTGTCATTGGACGTTTCTCAGCCCACTGCCCTCACTTGTGCCTTCCCCTCTCTCAGGGAGAGAAACACCGACGTGCAGATCAAGAACCGCGGCTTTTGCTGAAAAGCGCCCGTGTGCTTGGCCTCCGCCCCAGCCTGGCCGCAGGGAGCAGCACCTCCTTGAAAATCCCGGCTGCAGACCCCAAGAAAACCCGATAAACCCCTCAGACGCCGGGAAACCCCAGTAAAACCCAAGCATTGCAGGTGCTCGCATAGTCCTTCTTGCCCCCCCAGGGGCAACTCCTGGTGCTGGGTTTGGGTTGGGTTTGGGGTGAAACCTGTGCAAGGCGCCGGCCACAATAGCGGAGCAGCTCCCAGGGCAGAGCAACCCTGATCTTGGCACCTCGAGCGAAGGGCACCAGGCCAGAGCCTTTATCCAGGGGCAGGAGAGGGCTGAGTGGCCTCCCCGGCTGCCTCCCGAGCCCTGAAACCTGCCAGGCCCCCCGAGCCGAGGGGACCGAGCTCCCGCGGGAGCTGGCTGTGGGGCCCAGGCTTTGCGGGGATGCTTTTCTCCCTGACCAGCTGCCCACCCCGGGGAAATGGAAGGGCACTGGCGCATGCCGGGGCAAAGGGACGTCGCCTGTGCCCGCTAGGGGATGCTGTCGCACCACCACATTTTGGTGCGGAAAGAGAAGTTTTGTGCTGGCTCGGCTGTTTTCCGTGTCCCTGGCAGAGCCGCCCGTGCCAGGCAGGCAGCACCGGGAGCCTTGGGACTGCAGCGCAGGGCAGCGGCAAAAGAGTTTCAGAGCCTTGCTTGTCAGCCCGAAAACGCCTGTGCCTCGTCTTTGCACGTTGCCCCTTGCTGCGCGGCTGGAAACAGGCGCTGGGGGGTGACTGCCAACCACAGAGCTTGTTAGCCGTGGTCCTTAATCAACCCCCCTGCTGCTGGGCTGGCCACCCTTAATGACTTGCGGCCTGGGTTGGCCAGCGCTGCCCAGCATCCTCCCCAGCTGTGCCCATCTCCCGGGGACCGCCTGCACCAAGGGATGCTGCAACGCCCTGGGGGCCAGGGGCACGTCCTGGACCTGCCATGCTGGAGGGTGCGGCTGAGAGAGGGACGGGGCAAACCCTGCTCGGACCCCGTCACTCCCCCTTCTCTGGGACACGCTCTGACCCAGGGCATGGCAGCTCTTCTGGAGCACAAGGTCTCAGGCCCCTAACGAGCACTATCAGGGAGGCCCATGTGTCCGCGTGGGCGAGCAGGCTCCGTTCTGGGGAAAGGAGCCGAGGCGTCGGAGCAGGAAGGTGGGGGTGCCAGTACCCGCTCGAGCTGAGTCACGCAGCACCGAGGACTTTCCCCATTCACACACTCCCCCGGCGCGGAGCGAGAGCTGTCTGGGCACCGCCATGCACCTGGCTCCTCACCAAGGGCACCCAGGCGTGCAGAGCACCACTCGCACATCCAGCGAGGCAGATGCAGCCGCCAGCCCCGGGCCACTGCAGCCATCACACCTGCAGCATCCCTGGGACCCGGGGGCCGTCCCCCACTCGGGGAGTCCTTGGAGGCAGGGGTTGCTCCCAGGCTGCTGCAGGCTCCTGGGGGGAGCTGGGCAAGGAGGGCAGGGCCTCCTAAGAGCAAGCAGACCCTGCAGGCAAATCAGGCAGGCCGTGGCCTGCCTCTCCTGACAGCGCTGCTCCCCGGGGGGAAGCCAGCAGGGGACATGGGGCCCCCCAGCCTAGTGGGTAGAGCCCCCTCCGTGGGCATCTGAGAGTGCAAGGGCAGGAGTGCAAGGAGCAGGTAAGGGGGTGGGTGATGCTGCCCAGCAGCTACAGCCCTTCCCGAGGCTCTGGTCTCTGCTGCCAATGTTATTTTTGTCTGTCAGCCTATCACTGCCTCTTACTAAATGGATTAACTGAGCTGGGAACAGGCAGGCAGGAGCCTGGCCTCCCCGTTGAGTGGTTGGGTGCTCCCCTAGGAGACAGGCGTCTTGAGCTCAGGTTATTTTGGGGGCCCTTTCATGCACGTGCAGCCTTGCAGTGGGAGCCAAGCATGCAAGCAGATGCAGGACTGTCGCAGGCCTGGGGAAGGGCTGGGCTCTCGGGCACAGGGGGCTTTGCTGTCACCGCGCCCATGCGAAGCCATTTACTCTCTTCCCGCCCTGAGCCCAGCAGTAGGCGTCCAGCAGGCGCCGGAGCCGCGCAGCTCCAAGCCACGTTCGCCTCTGGCCGAAGCAGAGCTGTGGGCTGCTGCAGCCTTTCATCGCAGCCCCTGAGCAGGGCATCATCTGTATGCTGGGCATGCCGAAAAAGCCCTCCGTTGCTTCCAAAACCGGAGTTTCCCTGTAGTTCAAAACACGGGTTTGGTTTTGTCTTTAACCGCAAGAAGCAACGAGCCCATGGCAGCGCGCCGCAGAGCCTGGCCGCAGCTCACGGGGTCACGCCGGACGCGGCAGGAATCCAGGAGCCGTGCCGGGGGGAGGCAGGGGGGTTTTGACTCCCAGAGCCTTTCCCCAGATCGCCCCCAGATTTCTTGTGTGGCCTCGAGCTATCCGCACGGCATTGCACGGCGGCCAGGACAGCACGGCCCTGTCTGCGTGCCTCTAGGGAAGCAGGGCCGGCAGGGAGCTGCAGAGGTCACATCTTGTCCAGCCCCTTCCTAAGGCAGGGTCAGCCCTGTCCAACCCATCCTCTACCAACCCATCATCTAAACTCTCCGTAAAACAATAGTCACCCCGACACAGCACTGGACATCATACACAAACCTGCCCCAGAGAAAGCTGGTGGGGCCACGGCTCTGGACAGGTTGTTAAAATATGCTTGAGAGATCCCGGGTGAAAAGACCAGGTCCCTGCTTCACCCCCGGCCTGTACTAACCTTCCTGACCCCGGATGTGGCGTCGGTCTGACCCTGAGCAGAGGGGCAAGGCCCAAACGCTCCGCATTTATATTCTAGTGGACCAAAAAATCCTCCTGACATCCCTGAAGAACCACACACGCAAAAAGCAGGAGGGTCCCCTCCTCCACCCTGCCTTTCGTGACCGAGCCCAGCGAGGAAGACGAGGGCATTTACAGCACAGGTGTATTCCTGGCTGTTTGGGGAGGGCTCAGGTTCACTCTTGGGCTCTAACAGGTGGGGAAAGGACCTGGGCCCTGGTACCTCCAGTGTGCACAGGCCCCTGACACAGGGGCTCACAACTGCTCACCACTGTCCATGCAGCTCCTCGATGGAGGACCAGTCATTACAGCTGTGGCTCCTTGCACAGGCTGGGTACCAACCCCCCCCACCTCTGGCGCACAAACCACCCAGGATTTGCTCCCACGTGGCAGATTGTTTTGCCACTAAATTGAGTGTGAATCATGGTTTCTTGCTAAACACAGCCCACGTCTGTCCCAGTCTGGGACAGCTCGAGTGTCATGGAAAGGACCACTCCGGATGGTCCCAGGGCCTGTGCAGGAAGATGCCAGGGGGTTAGGATGTCGGGAAGGAGGAGATTGTCCATCAGCCTCGAAGCCCATCCTCAGCTGAGGTATCGGCACCACAGAGCTCGGGCTTCGCCCCCCGAGAGAGACCCGGGCTCGTTCTCTCTGACCCCGCTGGTTCCCGAGGTTGCATAAGCCCTCATTAGGATTCAGTGCATCTGCAGCTTGTCAGGATCCCGCTCTGCTGTTCGGAGGCATCAGCTCTCTTCTCCGTGTCAGGAAAACGCTGCTCTCATCATCACAACCTGACACACTAAATTGGGGAAAGAGAGCAAAATTGTGCTGGAAGGGAGGTGGGAAATGGCGGCTCTTTGTGTCTGAATCGCTGCAGCCTTTCATCTGGTGTTCCCAGGGCAGCAGCTCCAAACATGATTGTCCAGGGGAGCCTTGAATGCATTTTAGATGATGCAATTAGGGAAAAAAGCAGGGCTTGTCAATGCGCAGGAAGGAACACGGCTCAACCTTCAGCCTCTCTGCCACCGCTCCCCTCCTACAGCCTTTCAGAGCGTGCAGCCAGTCACAGGAGGAAGAGAGGCAAAGGGGTTTGCAGCTACCCTGGAAGTGAGGAGATGTAATTAAGCACCACAGAGGACTCTGGGTTTAGCAGAATTGTCTGCTCCCCAGCTCCGCCGGAGGAAAAAAACTTGGGCAAAGTCACTGTGGCCCCCCCTTCCGCAAGCCCCAGCCCCCCCAGATCCCACTGTTGGGGTGGCAGGATGCAGGGCAGCGCTCTTGGAGCTGCCCGGGGGACATGCCCCCAGGGAGCTCCCCACAAGTGTCACCCACAAACCCGCCGGCCTCAGCTCCCCCCGGCTGTACCCAGGGCCCCACTGCAGGAGCCAGCAGGAAGCCTCGCGTGGCGCTTTGGCCCTCGCCTGCCACGTCTGTGCAGCTTCGCCCCTGCCCCGGCTCCTGCGTGGGCTGCTGCGCCAGCTGCTGCGTCTCAGGGGTGGGCGGCACGGTTCCAGGAAAAGGTGCGATGTGCAAATGCGAGTCCCAGAATGAAAGCACCAGCCCCCGCTGCTTGGAGTGGGCCGGCAGGCTTTCCTCAGCCCTCGCACGCAAGCCGCGGCCCCCTCCCAGTGGGCAGGCGCTGGGTGGGGACACAGGCCCCTCGTGCCCACGGCAGCCTGGATCCCTCTGACCCCCCCAGAGCTGCACAGGGGGCAGCGGGGGCCAGGGCTGGAGGGGGCTGCTGCAGAGAGAGCACAGTGACAGCAGCACGGGGACAGCCGCCGCAGCAAAGCTAGGCGGAGGTGGCTAAGCTGGGGGTGCCCACGCGTGCCACAGTCATGCGCTGACTGACGGCCTCGCACATGCCACTGAGACAGAGGGGCAGGCTCTGCGCTGCCCTGGGTGCAGCCCGTGGCTCAGGAGGTGCAGGTTCAAGTGCTAGCCCAAGCCCCTCAAAGGACTCAGAGCTGGACCCCGCCGTGCTGCCAGTTTTCACGCCCAAATAAATGAAGAGCAGCCACGTGATATAACGCACTGCATTGCTGCAGGGTCTCATGTCAATACCCCCAGGCAAACCCGCCTGCCACCAGGGCCGCGTGCCTGCAGCGAGCCTGGTAGAGCTTGGCACCGACAGCACTTCCTGCGAGCGCCTCAGCTGACGTGAAGTCCACGCGCGCAAATACGTCCCACCCCCCAGTGACCCTTCCTGTGCCTCCTGTCCTCCCAGCCTTTGTCCATCCTCACCCTTAGTTGAAAGGCTCTTCAGGGCAAAGGGACTGTGTCCTGCCAGCTGCCTGCCAAACGTCTGCCGTGGGAGCCCAAACTCTGCC